TAGCATTTTATCTAATTACAAAACTTAACGTATTGTTAGGATCTATAATGATTTATAGTTAAACTTTATCCTTGGAATTGAGGCAGAAATCCTTCCTGAATATTGTTTACTTCTTCCATTCTTATAACTTCCTCACATGATAGTAAAGAAGGTGATATCAAATATTAAATCATGTGATGAAACAGTTGAAATTGTAAATAACATAGCAGTGATGGCCACCAAGTTAGTCTCATGTAAGGAACAGTCATTCCCAGTGGTCCAAAATTTGCAGTTTCAAATTGCAAGTCATTAATGCCAAGATGAAAGATTTCTTCTGTCTTGTGATCTCTATGTAATCGATTTCAGAATCTACAATCAGGGAGAGAATAGGGGTCATAGAGTCAACCCAACTGCCTAGTAAGAGAAGCAAACCTTCCAGGATTGGACCTTTGCTGTTAGGGAACAAACAAAAACTTTCTAACTTATTTCATTTCAGGGTAGGAAATCAGTAAGTATTATTAAAAATTCTTTTACTCACTCTCACTAGCGAATGTTAGAGTGTAATATAACTCGGTGGATGCAGAGAATACATATTGAGATAAATCACTATGATAGTATATCGTTTGCATTAAAATTCAGGAATTTGTTCCTCTTTCTGATTGATGTTAATTGATTTTGGCACCTAATAATTTACAGTTTGCTTATTCTCCAGTTACTAGTCCTTTAAAAAAAAAAATCTTTACATGCACTGGAGGGGCTCACTATTTAAGGTATGAGAGGTGAAATATTTTTTAGTGAGGAAATCTTTGTAACGTTAAAAATCTAATCTCCTCTAATTCTTGGTAGATTTAACATGTGTGAATTGTTTAGTTCAAACAAGCAGTGACAAAGTTAGGTTTCTGAGTTCCCGTTTTACTCCTATTTCAAGGCTAAGGCAAGTTACGTTTCACTTCTTAGTTTGTGAGTAGCCAAACATAGATTGGTTTGTTAAATTTTAATTATTTTCTAATTTTTCTTTATCCATACTTGACTACTTAAGGATAAATGTGTTTTACAAGCATGTACTGTGAAAGAAAAGAAATCTGAAGATCAAATCAAGCAGATTAATCTTTCACTTGCGCATCTGCAAAAAATGCCTAGAGAACCAGAAATGAATATGGAACATGACAGAAAGGACATACCTGTATCTTCAAAACTTTCTTGTGTGGAGAAGCATGAGGGCATGTGGGTCAAACAAGGCAAATTGTTCTGGAAAAATACTTCAGAAGTTATCACAAAGAAGTCAAGTCAGAAAATCAGTAAAATCCTTGGAAAATGCAAAATTATTTTTCATCGTAAGGGAGGGTCACCACGTGACAACCCTGAACTACATGGTAATTTAAAGGAACTACCTTCCAATATGACAGATAATATATTTGATAGTGGGGAAAAAGATGCACCTGGAGCCTCTGTCTCTGTAGGATTCCAGGCATTCTCTGAACACAAAGAGCCCAGTCTTGAAAAAGTTTTTCCATCTTATTCCAAGTCTGAGTCAACAGAGTATGGTTGCCAGCCATCTTCAAAACTTTATTTAAATGAAAAGAAGTTAGATGAAAATGATAAACCAGACACCGAAGATGTTTTTAACAAAAATGAGGAGAGTTTTTATCATGATAGAGAAAATGAAGTAAGGAGCCGAGTTCCCTTTAAAGTGAAAGAAGACCAAGAATTTGGTACAAAAAGAATACAAAGAAGGAACCAAAATACTCACTGGAAATCAGACATTGGCCGTGCACCTCAGGTAAGTGGTCCTGAAAGCCTTTTTTGGTTTGTGGCTTGCCCGCTCCAGTGAGGTGAAACACACGATTCAAATAAAAAGTCACGATATGTCTGCTGTTTCAAATACTTATAAGAAAACCAAACGAACTCAAGACCAGCTCCAGAAGCCATTGCTTGCAGATAACAGCGGTGCTGATAACTCTAAAATCATGGACCCTGAATTAGGAAATGTGAGTTCTTCTCCATCAAATGGTAACAGAACATCCAAAGTATA